TTTTTCCTATGAATGTATTATGTATGTTTTGTTGGGTTATCTCAACAAAGAGTTTGATGCTAAGGTAGAATAAAGTTATGATCCTTAAGAGTTTCCATGTAAGTATATGTTGTAAGTGTTGAGTTATTGGACTCCTTTCCTATGTGGAGAATAAGCCAAATAATGTAAACCATTATGTGTCACTTTGTTTTGTTTTAATGGAGATGAGTAAGATTAGTAGGACATACTAGACTCATTTGAAGACTGAGAAAAGTTAAGTGAGAGAGAAAGGAAGAGAACTCATTGCATGCCATCCATCCATAGAGGCAACTCTAAGGTGGCTTTCAATGAAGTGGAAGTTCAGGCACAGAACTTGTTTCAACAAGTAATCAACTTATATTCATTCAGTCTATTCGATTCTATCCATATATAACTGAAGCATATTTTATCACAAAATACGTAGAATAATCAGAAAAAGGTCATCCGATATTGTTTTAACTGCATGATGAATGCACGGTGCAAGCAACCTCATCGAAGCATTTTCTTGAGAGGAATTTGATTTTTTGCTAAGAATCTGACATGGGCATAATGGCTGACCTAACCGCTGTTGAACCTAAAAGAATTTAAAGATCATATCCAACAAGTTCTTAGAAGAACAACAGCCTGATTCAAATAATCACCACAAGTCTTGACAAGAACAATTTCCATTTCTGAAATGATGAAACCTCAAGGAGTCTCTAACGATGATTGTCACGCCAACAATTTTAGAAATGTACTTAATGACATTGTGACAGTCACCACAAATTCTCAAATTCTTGAAAACCCGTAGAGATGACTGTCCATTCAAATTAAGAATCCCAAATGCAACAGCGAGCCTCTCACTATGGCTACAAAGACTAGCAGCTTTTTCCTCTTGGTCAACATCTTGAAGAACATAATCAGTGTCAGGCTTATATCCGGCCAATTTCATTTTCTCATCTAACTCATTCAAAAAGTCATAGATTTTATCACTCTCCATGTTATTTTTGTCTCCAACAACAAAAGTGTAAACTCTATTTCCCACTTGAAGCCAACTACAGCCTGGAGTTTTTGTAACTCCTCTCTCTTTCATCAATATTCTCGCTTTTGAAGCTTCACTCCACAATTTGGCTGTGACAAGGATGTTGAATAATAAAACATAATTTCCAGGGTTGTTGGGTTCAATCTCAAATAATTTATTGGCTGAAATTTTTGCCAATTCCACATTCTTATAAACTCTACAAGCACCAAGAAGTGCTCCCCAAGCACTGGCAGTTGGCTCCATAGGCATTCCCTGTATGAACTCGTACGCCTCACCAAGCCGACCAGCACGGCTGAAGACATCAACCATGCATGCATAGTGATTAGCATCAGGTTCGACTTGATGATCCCTACCCATTGAATTAAAGATCTGGAGTCCTTCCTCTACCAACCTTGAGTGGCTACAACCAGACAGAACACCAGTAAAAGTAACAGAATTGGGCTTCATCCCTGACTGAAGCATGCTCTCGAACAGCATAAGTACTTCTTTTCCATTTCCATGCATTGCATTAGCAATTATCATCGTGTTCCAAGCAACAACATCTTTTCTGTGCATCATATCAAACACATTCCTTGAAAGATTCAAGTCACCACATTTAGCATACATGTATACCACCGCAGTCATGGTTGTCAAGTCCCAAATTAACCAATGCCTAACGACATAGCAATGTACCTCCCTGCCCATCCTCAAGCTTTCTAAAAAAGAGCAAGCCGGTAAAAAACTACTAATTGTAATTTGATTAGGTTTAAATCCCATGTTTTGCATCTTCCTAAGCATCTCCACTGCCTCCTCTATGTTCCCGTTTTCCATGCAACCCCCAATAACAGCATTCCATGTAGCTTCATCTGCTTTGACTCCTTTGCTCCTCATTTGGGAAAACAGGGCAAGACCCTTCTCATATTCTTTGTTTGTGAAGTATGCCGATAAAAGTCCATTCCAAGACACAACATCTCGATGAGGCATCAAATCAAAAACTAGTCTAGCCGGTTTAACACTCAAACATCTAGCATACATGCTCACAAGAGCACTGCAGACATACACATTTTCCATCATCCCATGTCTCATTGCATATCCATGAATAGCCCTTCCAGACTTCAGATCTTTCAATTCCGAGCACGCAGGCAAAATGCTAGACACTGTCACTGAATTAGGCTTCACCCCATTCCGTCCCATCTCGCGAAAAACAGCTAGGCCTTGTCCGGGCAATCCACAATTGACATAGCATGAAGACATGGAGGTCCAAGAAACCACATCTTTCACAACCAAATCATCAAAAACCCGTCTTGCACCTTCAGTGCATCTACACTTCCCATAGGCATGAATCAATGCATTTCCTAAGAAAACATCAGAAATCATCCCACATCGAATGGAATCATCATGAATCTCCTTGACTCTCAAGAGATCACCAGAGGCACCAGAGGCCTTGGCAACAGCCAGAAACACAGAGTTCTGGGGTTTGATCTTACGTTCCCGAAGCGAAGCATAGAGCCTTAAAGCCTCATGTGGAAATCCATAAGTAGTGAGAGCTGAAATTAATGTATAACAAGTGGTGGGGTCTGGTTGAGGAATATTATCAAACAGTTGTTGGGCACGCCTTAAATCACCGACATTCAAAGCTGCCTTGACAAGACTGTGACCCAAGTGAGATGGGAGGTTAGTGCTCACAGAGGGAGCCACCTTTGTTGAAGGTGGCTGCTTCCGCAAGGAAGGATTAAGTTTTATGAAAGCGAGAACTGACAAAGGTAGCAAAACAGAGCCAAAGACTACAACTACTCACAATCTTCATTTCATTCATTTGGATCCATTTTTTGTATTCGGATTCAGCTCTATCGGGTCGGGTAAATTTTAATGGTTTCTAATATTCTTCAATTATTAAGCTCCCTTTTTTTCTTTTGAAAAGGTAAATTGCCTTTTTGTTAAAAGAATTTCTAGAGAAAAAAAAGTTAAGAGGACGATTATTTTTAAAATGAATAAAAAAAGATACACCTCTTACACCATTAGTAAATAATATGTTGATTTCTGTTAAAAATAATTATACAAGTTTCGAAGCCTATTTAACTTGCTTTAAATTATTAAAATTGTTTTTCTAAATCAACATATAAATAAAAAAGAGAATGAATTTTAATTAAAAATTAACTTAACATAATCTAAAAGAAGATTTAAAAGTTTATATCTACTAATCAGTCTTTGAAAAAATTTATATTCAATGGATATAACAAATATTAAAAGAACTAATTATTTAAACAAATACTTGTCAAATATTACATTGGCTACTAATCATCATTTCAAGTAACCTTAATCCAACTAAATTAACTCTAGTAAACTAATAATTTACTGCATTTTTTTAATTTAAAAGCCTAATCACTAGTCAAAATAATTCAGTGACTTAGAGACTAATTTATTCTATATATGTATTTTTCCTAAACTCGTGTTTAATTAGAAAATATACAATGTGAGATGAGACCAACAAATTGAAATACTCCATTTTCTTTTTAGGTTCTCCAATCTTAACATTTAAATATTGGTTTTGTAAATAAAATATATGTTTAATATATTTATATATTTTAAACTTTACAAAATTAGTCTATAAAATAAAGTTTGTATCCACTCGTATATTCTAAATAGGTCTTATCTTTAATTTATGTTAGATTTCTAACTATCGTGAAAAAAATATGAGTAACTACTAAAGAACTATGTATTTTCTCTGTGAGTAACTATCAAATAACTATATTTTAGTAAATATTTTTTTTTATTTGTTCTAGTTTCATATAATCCATTTATTTTTTTTCTTATGGTTATGATAAAAAATGGTGAGTATTTTTTTTACACCATCTCACATTTTTTTTGTATGTATTTTAAAAAATTATACACCTTATTTTATTTTTAATGAATTTTAAAATTTATTGAAAAAAAATTAAAATTAGCTGAAAATTTTTTCTTTAACGAATTTTTAAATATATTAAAATATTGTTTTTAACTAATTTCGAAATTCTTTAAAAAATTTCAAAGTTTCAGAGAATTTTTTGAGTTGGAATACAGTGAAAATAAAGAAACCATTTTTATCTCAAAAAAAAAACACAACTATTTGTGTCAGGAGGATAACACGATAAAACGTAGGTGTGGTGGGAACGTAGCGGACGCTGTTGAATGAAAATCTTCAGTTGTTGGTACCTTTCTCTCTTTCTCTTTCACACTCACTTTCTCACTTGTTAATTCTCGCGAGGAATCAATCTTCGCACATCACTGTGTATCCACTGTAACTAGTTTCAACATACCTGTTGCAAGCAGAACCTGTCCACAATGTTTCTTAGTTTTTGTTCTATCTGCAAAACTTGATCAACTTGGACTCATTCACCATCGTTATACATCATTTTCCTACTTCAATCATGGCTTCACTTCTGAATACTGTGTCACCAGCTGCAAATTTATCCCCTAAAACCAAACGACCCACTTGTGGCGGTTTCTTGCACTCCCAGGTTCCGAATCTTCACACTTTTTCCATGAACAAGGGTTTTTCTAGGGTTTCGGCTTCGACCCAGATTGCCATTACCCCAAAAGATGCGGTTTTTAATCTCCCCAATTGGAGAGGTGGGAGGAATGACCCTAGGGACAAAGAGTTAAGGGTCTATGATGCATTTCTCCATTTAGAGTATTTGGTGGGTAAGGGCCAAAAGCCAGAGGTGACTCAAGCAACTCAGCTTTTGTATGATCTTTGCAAGTTTAACAAAGCTAGAAAGGCTGTTAAGGTGATGGATATGATGGTTGATTCAGGTATTATACCTGATGCAGCCTCTTATACATACTTGGTCAATTTTCTATGCAGGAGAGGCAATGTTGGGTATGCTCTTCAGTTGGTTGAGAAGATGGAGGGGCATGGTCTTCCAACTAATACTGTTACCTATAACACTCTTGTTAAAGGCCTTTGCATGCATGGTAACTTGAAGCAGAGCTTGCAGCTTTTGGATAAGTTGAGAAAGAAGGGCTTGGTTCCAAATGCATTCACATTTTCTTTCCTTCTCCAAGCGGCGTACAAGGAAAGGGGAGTGGATGAGGCCATGAAGCTTCTTGATGAGATAATTGCCC